AGTAGTAACAGCAGTAGTAACAGCAGTAGTAGTAACAGCAGTAGTAGTAACAGTAGTAGTAATAGTAGTAGTAGTAGCTGTAGTAGTAGTAACAGCAGTAGTAGCTGTAGTAGTAACAGTAGTAGTAACAGTAGTAGTAGTAGCTGTAGTAGTAACAGTAGTAGTAGCTGTAGTAGTAACAGCAGTAGCAGTAGTAACAGCAGTAGTAACAGCAGTAGTAGTAGTAACAGCAGGAGTAGTAGTAGCTGTAGTAGTAGCTGTAGTAGTAGTAGCTGTAGTAGTAGCAGTAGTAGTAGCAGTAGTAGTAGTAACAGCAGGAGTAGTAGTAACAGTAGTAGTAGCTGTAGTAGTAGTAACAGCAGTAACAGTAGTAGTAGTAGTAGCTGTAGTAGTAGTAGCTGTAGTAGTAGCTGTAGTAGTAACAGTAGTAGTAGTAACAGTAGTAGTAACAGTAGTAGTAGCTGTAGTAACTGTAGTAGTAGCTGTAGTAACAGTAGTAGTAGCTGTAGTAGTAACAGTCGTAGTAACAGCAGTAGAAGTAGTAACAGTATTAGTAACAGTAGTAGTAGCTGTAGTAGTAGTAGTAACAGTAGTAGTAGCTGTAGTAGTAGTAGTAACAGTAGTAGTAGCTGTAGTAGTAGCTGTAGTATTAACAGTAGTAGCTGTAGTAGTAGCTGTAGTAGTAGCTGTAGTAGTAGTAGTAGCTGTAGTAGTAGCTGTAGTAGTAGCTGTAGTAGTAGCTGTAGTAGCTGTAGTAGTAGTATTAACAGTAGTAATAGTAGCTGTAGTATTAACAGTAGCTGTAGTAGTAGTAGTAACTGTAGTAGTAGCAGTAGTAGCTGTAGTAGTAGCTGTAGTAGCAGTAGTAGTAACAGTAGTAGTAACAGTAGTAGTATTAACAGTAACTGTAGTAGCTGTAGTATTAACAGTAGTAGTAGTAGCTGTAGTAGTAGTAACAGAAGTAGTAGCTGTAGTAGTAGTAACAGTAGTAGTAGTAGCTGTAGTTGTAACAGCAGTAGTAGTAACAGTAGTAGTAACAGTAGTAGTAGCAGTAGTAGTAGTAACAGTAGTAGTAACAGTAGTAGCTGTAGTAGTAGCTGTAGTAGTAGCTGTAGTAGTAGTAGTAGTAGCTGTAGTAGTAGCTGTAGTAGTAGCTGTAGTAGTAACAGTAGCTGTAGTACTAGCTGTGGTAGTAGTAGTAGTAGTAGCTGTAGTAGTAGTAGCTGTAGTAGTAGTAGCTGTAGTAGTAGCTGTAGTAGTAACAGTAGTAGTAACAGTAGCTGTAGTACTAGCTGTGGTAGTAGCTGTAGTAGCTGTAGTAGTAGTAGTAGCTGTAGTAGTAGCTGTAGTAGTAACAGTAGTAGCAGTAGTAGCTGTAGTAGTAGTAACAGTAGTAGTAGCTGTAGTAGTAGCTGTAGTAGTAGTATTAACAGTAGTAGTAGCTGTAGTAGTAGCTGTAGTAGTAGTATTAACTGTAGTAGTAGCTGTAGTAGTAGTAACAGTAGTAGTAGCTGTAGTAGTAGCTGTAGTAGTAGTAGCAGTAGTAGTAGTAGCTGTAGTCGTAACAGTAGTAGTAGTAACAGCAGTAGTAGTAGTAGCTGTAGTAGTAGCTGTAGTAGTAACAGCAGTAGTAACAGCAGTAGTAGTAACAGCAGTAGTAGTAACAGTAGTAGTAATAGTAGTAGTAGTAGCTGTAGTAGTAGTAACAGCAGTAGTAGCTGTAGTAGTAACAGTAGTAGTAACAGTAGTAGTAGTAGCTGTAGTAGTAACAGTAGTAGTAGCTGTAGTAGTAACAGCAGTAGCAGTAGTAACAGCAGTAGTAACAGCAGTAGTAGTAGTAACAGCAGGAGTAGTAGTAGCTGTAGTAGTAGCTGTAGTAGTAGTAGCTGTAGTAGTAGCAGTAGTAGTAGCAGTAGTAGTAGTAACAGCAGCAGTAGTAGTAACAGTAGTAGTAGCTGTAGTAGTAGTAACAGCAGTAACAGTAGTAGTAGTAGTAGCTGTAGTAGTAGTAGCTGTAGTAGTAGCTGTAGTAGTAACAGTAGTAGTAGTAACAGTAGTAGTAACAGTAGTAGTAGCTGTAGTAACTGTAGTAGTAGCTGTAGTAACAGTAGTAGTAGCTGTAGTAGTAACAGTCGTAGTAACAGCAGTAGAAGTAGTAACAGTATTAGTAACAGTAGTAGTAGCTGTAGTAGTAGTAGTAACAGTAGTAGTAGCTGTAGTAGTAGTAGTAACAGTAGTAGTAGCTGTAGTAGTAGCTGTAGTATTAACAGTAGTAGCTGTAGTAGTAGCTGTAGTAGTAGTAGTAGCTGTAGTAGTAGCTGTAGTAGTAGCTGTAGTAGTAGCTGTAGTAGCTGTAGTAGTAGTATTAACAGTAGTAATAGTAGCTGTAGTATTAACAGTAGCTGTAGTAGTAGTAGTAACTGTAGTAGTAGCAGTAGTAGCTGTAGTAGTAGCTGTAGTAGCAGTAGTAGTAACAGTAGTAGTAACAGTAGTAGTATTAACAGTAACTGTAGTAGCTGTAGTATTAACAGTAGTAGTAGTAGCTGTAGTAGTAGTAACAGAAGTAGTAGCTGTAGTAGTAGTAACAGTAGTAGTAGTAGCTGTAGTTGTAACAGCAGTAGTAGTAACAGTAGTAGTAACAGTAGTAGTAGCAGTAGTAGTAGTAACAGTAGTAGTAACAGTAGTAGCTGTAGTAGTAGCTGTAGTAGTAGCTGTAGTAGTAGTAGTAGTAGCTGTAGTAGTAGCTGTAGTAGTAGCTGTAGTAGTAACAGTAGTAGTAACAGTAGCTGTAGTACTAGCTGTGGTAGTAGTAGTAGTAGTAGCTGTAGTAGTAGTAGCTGTAGTAGTAGTAGCTGTAGTAGTAGCTGTAGTAGTAACAGTAGTAGTAACAGTAGCTGTAGTACTAGCTGTGGTAGTAGCTGTAGTAGCTGTAGTAGTAGTAGTAGCTGTAGTAGTAGCTGTAGTAGTAACAGTAGTAGCAGTAGTAGCTGTAGTAGTAGTAACAGTAGTAGTAGCTGTAGTAGTAGCTGTAGTAGTAGTATTAACAGTAGTAGTAGCTGTAGTAGTAGCTGTAGTAGTAGTATTAACTGTAGTAGTAGCTGTAGTAGTAGTAACAGTAGTAGTAGCTGTAGTAGTAGCTGTAGTAGTAGTATTAACAGTAGTAGTAGCTGTAGTAGCTGTAGTAGCTGTAGTAGTAGCTGTAGCAGTAGCTGTAGTAGCTGTAGTAGTAGTAGTAGCTGTAGTAGTATTAACAGTAGTAGTAGCTGTAGTAGTAGCTGTAGTAGTAGTATTAACAGTTGTAGTAGCTGTAGTAGTAGTAGCTGTAGTAGTAGTAGCTGTAGTAGTAGTAACAGTAGTAGCAGTAGTAGCTGTAGTAGTATTAACAGTAGTAGTAGCTGTAGTAGTAGTAGCTGTAGTAGTAGCTGTAGTAGTAGTAGCTGTAGTAGTAGCTGTAGTAGTAGTAGCTGTAGTAGTAGTATTAGTAGTAGTAGCTGTAGTTGTAGTATTAACAGTAGTAGTAGTAGCTGTAGTAGTAGTATTAACAGTAGTAGTAGCTGTAGTTGTAGTATTAACAGTAGTAGTAGTAGCTGTAGTAGTAGTATTAACAGTAGTAGTAGCTGTAGTAGTAGTATTAGTAGTAGTAGCTGTAGTTGTAGTATTAACAGTAGTAGTAGTAGCTGTAGTAGTAGTATTAACAGTAGTAGTAGCTGTAGTTGTAGTATTAACAGTAGTAGTAGTAGCTGTAGTAGTAGTATTAACAGTAGTAGTAGCTGTAGTAGTAGTATTAACAGTAGTAGTAGCTGTAGTAGTAGTATTAACAGTAGTAGTAGTAGCTGTAGTAGTAGTATTAACAGTAGTAGTAGCTGTAGTAGTAGTATTAACAGTAGTAGTAGCTGTAGTTGTAGTATTAACAGTAGTAGTAGTAGCTGTAGTAGTAGTATTAACAGTAGTAGTAGCTGTAGTAGTAGTATTAACAGTAGTAGTAGCTGTAGTAGTAGTATTAACAGTAGTAGTAGCTGTAGTAGTAGTATTAACAGTAGTAGTAGCTGTAGTAGTAGTATTAACAGTAGTAGTAGCTGTAGTAGTAGTATTAACAGTAGTAGTAGCTGTAGTAGTAGTATTAACAGTAGTAGTAGCTGTAGTAGTAGTATTAACAGTAGTAGTAGCTGTAGTTGTAGTATTAACAGTAGTAGTAGCTGTAGTAGTAGTATTAACAGTAGTAGCTGTAGTAGTAGTATTAACAGTAGTAGTAGCTGTAGTAGTAGTATTAACAGTAGTAGTAGCTGTAGTAGTAGTATTAACAGTAGTAGTAGCTGTAGTTGTAGTATTAACAGTAGTAGTAGTAGCTGTAGTAGTAGTATTAACAGTAGTAGTAGCTGTAGTAGTAGTATTAACAGTAGTAGTAGCTGTAGTAGTAGTATTAACAGTAGTAGTAGCTGTAGTTGTAGTATTAACAGTAGTAGTAGTAGCTGTAGTAGTAGTAGTAGCTGTAGTAGTAGTAGTAGCTGTAGTAGTAGCTGTAGTAGTAGTAGTATTAACAGTAGTAGTAGCTGTAGTAGTAGCTGTAGTAGTAGTAACAGTAGCTGTAGTAGCTGTAGTAGTAGCTGTAGCAGTAGTAGTAGTAACAGTAGTAGTAGCTGTAGTAGTAGCTGTAGTAGTATTAACAGTAGTAGTAGCTGTAGTAGTAGTAGCTGTAGTAGTAGTAGCTGTAGTAGTAGTATTAACAGTAGTAGTAGTAGCTGTAGTAGTAGTATTAACAGTAGTAGTAGCCGTAGTAGTATTAACAGTAGTAGTAGTAGCTGTAGTAGTAGTAGTAGCTGTAGTAGTAGCAGCTGTAGTAGTAGTATTAACAGTAGTAGTAGTAGTAGCTGTAGTAGTAGTATTAACAGTAGTAGTAGCTGTAGTAGTATTAACAGTAGTAGTAGTAGCTGTAGTAGTAGTATTAACAGTAGTAGTAGTAGCTGTAGTAGTAGTATTAACAGTAGTAGTAGCTGTAGTAGTAGTATTAACAGTAGTAGTAGTAGCTGTAGTAGTATTAACAGTAGTAGTAGTAGCTGTAGTATTAACAGTAGTAGTAGTAGCTGTAGTAGTAGCTGTAGTAGTAGTATTAACAGTAGTAGTAGTAGCTGTAGTAGGAGTAGTAGCTGTAGTAGTAGTAGCTGTAGTAGTAGCTGTAGTAGTAGCAGCTCGCTCCCCCCCCCCCCCCCCACTCACCTTGGACACGAGGCTGGCCCTGTAGGCCGCGAGGGCCTTCAAGTAGTCCTTCTTAGCTGACTCCGTCTTCTTCTTGTACAACTGGAGACACACACAGACACACACACAGACACACACAGACAGACACACAGACACACACGGACACGCACGGACACACACGGATACACACAGACACCGACAGACACACGCGGACACACACGGATACACACAGACACACACAGACACACCGGACACACACAGACACACGCAGACACACGCAGACACCGACGGACACACACACAGACACACACAGACACACACACACAGACACACACACAGACACACACAGACACCGACAGACACACGCGGACACACACGGATACACACAGACACACACAGACACACACGGACACACACAGACAGACACACACAGACACCGACGGACACACACGGACACACACAGACACGCACGGATACACACAAACACACACAGACAGACACACGCGGACACGCACAGACACGCACGGATACACACGGACACACACGGAGACGCAGAAACAACGATGAGATGTTAACTATCATGCCTGGTATGCAGGAGGTCGTGGGTTCGATCCCCAACCCTCAACCACCACCACGACTGCCACCACGACTACCACCAACAACCACCACTTCAACCATCATCACCACTTCAACCATCACCACCACGTCTACCACCACTACCATCACCACCATCAACATCATCACCACCATCAGCTCAACTACCACCACCAACTCAACCACGACCACCACCTCAACCACCAACTCAACCACCACCAACTCAACCATCATCAACACCACCACTACCATCACCACCATCAACATCATCACCACCATCAGCTCAACTACCACCACCAACTCAACCACCACCACAACCACCACCATCAACATCATCACCACCATCAGCTCAACTACCACCACCAACTCAACCAGCACCACAACCACCACCACTACCATCACCACCATCAGCTCAACTACCACCACCAACTCAGCACCACCACAACCACCACTACCATCACCGCCATCACCACTTCAACCACCATCAGCTCAACTACCACCACCAACTCAACCATCACCAACACCACCACTACCTTCACCACCATCAACATCATCACCACCATCAGCTCAACTACCACCACCAACTCAACCATCACCAACACCACCACTACCATCACCACCATCAACATCATCACCACCATCAGCTCAACTACCACCAACTCAACCACCACCACGACCAACACCTCAACCACCATCAACATCATCACCACCACAACCACCACCAACTCAACCACCACCACAACCACCACCATCACCAACACCACCACGACCATCACTACCATCAACATCATCACCACCATCAGCTCAACTACCACCACCACAACCACCACCACCACAACCACCACAACCACAACCACCACAACCACCACCACAACCACCACCACAACCACCACTACCACCACCACCACAACCACCACCACTACCATCACCACCATCAACATCATCACCACCATCAGCTCAACTACCACCACCACCACAACCACCACCACAACAACCACCACAACCACAACCACCACCACCACAACCACCACCACCTGCTTCTGATCGTCGTGGAGTCCGTCCCACATGGCGGCCACCATCTTTGAGATCTCCCCGAAGGTGGCGCTGGGGTTCTGCCCCTTGATGGCCGCCTGAGTGTCGCGGAAGAAGAGGGCGTAGGCCGACACCGGCTTCTGCGGCTCGTTGGGGTCCCGGCGCCGCTTGCGCTTCGGGGTGCGCGGCTTGGGCCTGGCATCGCCCGCGCCGCCGGCGACGCCGACGATTCCCGAGCCGCCGACGCCGCCGCCGCCGCCGCCGCCGACGCCGACGCCACAGAGGCCGCCCATCACACCGAGGAGGCCCTTGCGCTGCTCGGCCAGGAGCTGCTGTGGGGGGGGGGGGGAGGGGAACGCCGTGACGGTGGTGGTTCAGGTAGTGGTGGTGGTGGTGGTCACGGTGGTGGTGGTGGTCACGGTGGTGGTGGTGGTCACGGTGGTGGTGGTGGTTCAGGTGGTGGTGGCGGTGGAGGTGGTGGCGACGGTGGAGGTGGTCGTTGTGATGGTGGTCACGGTGGTGGTGGTGGTCACGGTGGAGGTGGTCATTGTGGTGGTGGTGGTGGTGGTGGTCACGGTGGAGGTGGTCGTTGTGGTGGTGGTGGCGACGGTGGAGGTGGTCGTTGTGGTGGTGGTTCAGGTGGTGGTGGTGGTCGTTGTGGTGGTGGTGGTTCAGGTGGTGGTGGTTGTTGTGGTGGTGGTCACGGTGGTGGTGGTGGTGGTCACGGTGGAGGTGGTCACGGTGGTGGTCACGGTGGTGGTGGTGGTCATGGTGGTGGTGGTTCAGGTGGTGGTGGTGGCGACGGTGGAGGTGGTCATTGTGGTGATGGTCACGGTGGAGGTGGTCACGGTGGAGGTGGTGGTCACGGTGGAGGTGGTCACGGTGGTGGTGGTGGTCACGGTGGTGGTGGTGGTCACGGTGGAGGTGGTCACGGTGGAGGTGGTGGTGGAGGTGGTCACGGTGGTGGTGGTCACGGCGGTGGCGGATGGACAACGGACGAGGGACGTCACCGCGAGGCTACTGAAGGCTGCGGCCTAGGCCTAGGCCACTATCACCACCACCAGGCCTCGACCCTACGCAAGGCCTAGGTATAGGCCTGGGCCACTACCACTAGGCCTTGGCCTTACACAAGACCCACGCCTGGGGCCACTCAAGGGCCACGCCTTGGGCCCACTCAAGGGCCACGCCTTGGGGCCCACTCAAGACCCACAACTTGGGGCCCACTCAAGACCCACAACTTGGGCCCACTCAAGGGCCACGCCTTGGGCCCACTCAAGGGCCACGCCTTGGGCCCACTCAAGGGCCACGCCTTGGGCCCACTCAAGACCCACGCCTTGGGGCCCACTCAAGACCCACAACTTGGGGCCCACTCAAGACCCACAACTTGGGCCCACTCAAGACCCACGCCTGGGGCCCACTCAAGACCCACGCCTAGGGCCCACTCAAGACCCACAACTTGGGGCCCACTCAAGACCCACACCTTGGGCCCACTCAAGGGCCACGCCTTGGGGCCCACTCAAGAACCATAACTTGGGCCCACTCAAGATCCACAACTTGGGCCCACTCAAGACCCACGCCTGGGGCCCACTCAAGACCCACAACTTGGGCCCACTCAAGACCCACGCCTTGGGGCCCACTCAAGACCCACAACTTGGGCCCACTCAAGACCCACGCCTTGGGGCCCACTCAAGGCCCACGCCTTGGGGCCCACTCAAGGGCCACAACTTGGGGCCCACTCAAGACCCACAACTTGGGGCCCACTGAAGACCCACACCTGGGGCCCACTCAAAACCCACAACTTGGGCCCACTCAAGGGCCACAACTTGGGCCCACTCAAGACCCAGAACTTGGGGCCCACTCAAGACCCACGCCTTGTGGCCCACTCAAGACCCACGCCTTGGGCCCACTCAAGGGCCACACCTTGGGCCCACTCAAGGGCCACAACTTGGGCCCACTCAAGGGCCACAACTTGGGCCCACTCAAGGGCCACAACTTGGGGCCCACTCAAGACCCACAACTTGGGGCCCACTCAAGACCCACAACTTGGGGCCCACTCAAGACCCACGCCACGGGGCCCACTCAAGGGCCACAACTTGGGGCCCACTCAAGACCCACAACTTGGGGCCCACTGAAGACCCACGCCTCGGGCCCACTCAAGACTCACGCCTCGGGCCCACTCAATGCCGCACCTTAGAATCGTCGTCCAGGTCATCGTAGAGAGCCGAGGCCGACGGCGACGGCGTGGCCGACGTGAGTCCCGGCGAGGGCGGCGAAGGCTGCGGCCTGAGCGCCGCCGCCCCCATGCCCAGGCCCAGGCCTAGGCCCAGGTGCGCGCTGAGCTGCGATTGGCTGATGGTGGTCAGGTGACCGTGGGGGCCTCCACCGAACTGAGAGGCGTCGTGCTGGCCCAGGGCCTGCGTTGGGGAGGGGGTAGGGGGGTGGGGGGGGGGGGCGACACGAGGTGATGGAATCCATGGTAACCATGGGGATCGGTTGCCGTGGCGATGGGAGGCAGGTCCTGAGTGTCTCAGTGAGCGAGTGAACGAGTTCAGCAGTGAGTGGGTTTATCGGTGAGTCTATGAGTGAGTCTATGAGTGAGTGAGTCTATGAGTGAGTGAGTCTAAGAGTGAGTCTAAGAGTGAGTCTATGAGTGAGTCTATGAGTGAGTGAGTCTATGAGTGAGTCTATGAGTGAGTCTATGAGTGAGTCTATGAGTGAGTGAGTCTCTGAGTGAGTCTCTGAGTGAGTCTATGAGTGAGTATCTGAGTGAGTGAGTCTATGAGTGAGTCTCTGAGTGAGTCTATGAGTGAGTCTATGAGTGAGTCTATGAGTGAGTGAGTCTATGAGTGAGTATCTGAGTGAGTCTATGAGTGAGTCTATGAGTGAGTCTATGAGTGAGTGAGTCTATGAGTGAGTGAGTGAGTCTATGAGTGAGTCTATGAGTGAGTCTATGAGTGAGTGAGTCTATGAGTGAGTCTATGAGTGAGTATGAGTGAGTGAGTCTATGAGTGAGTGAGTCTCTGAGTGAGTGAGTCTCTGAGTGAGTCTATGAGTGAGTGAGTCTATGAGTGAGTCTATGAGTGAGTGAGTGAGTCTATGAGTGAGTCTATAAGTGAGTGAGTCTATGAGTGAGTGAGTGAGTCTATGAGTGAATCTATGAGTGAGTGAGTCTATGAGTGAG